GGGGGGGGGGGGCGAGCCCGTAGGGCGAGTCAAAATACAAAAGACAAGATAAAATATCCCACGATAGTTCTCGCTAAACCGTCCTATAAGAGATTTATTATTCAGCTCGAGGGGTATAAAATCAGCTCAGTAAACGTCGACTGTTCTTTTAACGAGAATGAGTGACAGACTTGCAAGTCCAGTTTTCGTGCCCTTTATGCAACTTTGGAACTGCGTTGGAAAGAAGAAATATGTCTTATAAATTCTAGGAGTTTCATAGAGCTACTATAAACCTCATTATCGCCGGTTTGCTTCTTACTTATGGCAATTCGTCCACGAGAGCTTCGGTTTTGATCGTGGCTAAATCTATATACTTCCCTTGATAGTCACGTGACCGCTTTCTCCTGTCCGTACAGCAGTCCGTGTTAGTTGGAAAGTCCTCGTATTAGGCTCACTTCAAACGTCGAACTTTTCATGTACCGAACTTAATAACTCTTAAGGTTGATAACAGTTCGACGGTTTATTCAGTCGGACTCAATTCATTTTCACTATGTACATGGCCTACAATGTTTACCAGTAAAAATAAGTACAGGTAATAGTAATTTCTGCATTATGCTCGGCACATGGAAGAAAAGTTCAACGTTTGAAACGAAGTCACTCCTCTGTCGAAATTTCGTGTGGGTCATTCGAACTTTAAATTCCTGGGTCAACTTATGTGGGACTTAACTGATTCAAACATCGATCTTTCAGGAACTTAATCGAAGGATTAGGTTCAGTGCATGAAAAGTTCGACGTTTGAACTGGGCGTTATTCACTATAACTGCCTTATAGAGAATTTTTTCCCTATTTTTATCCTTTCGGCTGTTTTTTGCCGTTATTATTCAGGTAAATTAGTTTACGTTTTTAAAATGTAAATATACTGAACTTTATATCCTTTATAACACGTTGGAGAGACTCTTAGAGACTCTTTTATAACCAGTAATGTTTCATTTCACAGCGATTTGTCGTCAAACAGAATCAAGAACATTACGCGTGGCGTATTTTTCAACAATAAACGTCTTCGCTTTATGTAAGTTTATTTTACTTTGTCATTTAAAAACGAAGCAGTCATTTATCTTGCCCGGGGTAACTACTCCAAACATTTCGGTAATCGAACTATCGAACGATCGCTGCTATTGAGTTTAATAATCGATCATGATAATAGAAGAGAGTCCGACTTCGTCCGCTTACCGAAGGAAATAAAACCCAATCGAAATCTATACGATCACTCAATGTATATTGGGTTTTTGGAAATTTTTTTTTTGAACATTCAAGGGCAACAATATATTTAAACTGAAATTACCAAAAGAAAATTCTGTGTACATTCTTCACAATAAGGCCATGAAACAACCCGACTAAAATACAATGAGCTGAAACAAAGCTGATTCAATAGTACGATGTTGCTTTTCTCTACTCAAACAATCTGACCTTTGAACAAAAAGTAGTGCTGCGACTCTAGCTAACTAAACGAAAGCATCGAGAGTGAAGCGAGCTTCAACGAGGTCGCGCAGCAGGCGAGCGAGCGACGAAGTCTCGAAGTCGACAAGAACATTTACACTTTTGAAAAATGTAGATCTATGAACACTCACAAAAGTATCATCGATACCCAAGTTCGCTTGGTAAGAGAGGGGGATGAAACCGTAACTAAGCGAGGACCGTCCAGCAAAGGAGGAGAAACGAAAGCGTCAAGCGCAACTGACGGCTGTGCAAAGACTGCAAAGAGAAAAGTCTCGCATTTTCCAGAGGCGATAAACGATCGTACTTATCCTGCTAAAAACAATATAAACGAGCTGGGCCCAACTTGACAAAACATTCCAGGAAACCATCCCATTCGGCAAGGACAAAAGAAAGTCGCTTTTAGTTATTCAGATCCAGGAGGAAGTTTGGGGAAAATTAAACAACCTTAATCCTTATCTAGCTGCAATGAAGAGCTTTACGTTTCAAAAGAGATCAAAGAAAATGCTACTCATATCAGAAGGCAAATCATGCCGAATAGAAACAATAACCACAGGAAATAAATTTGTGTATCGCAACCTCTCAGTTTGAAATAAGCGGCAAAAATCACATTCGCTTTGTCCAACCTTAAAACCCTCATTAGAACAAGCAGCATTTTTGCACGAGATAAAAGTTGTGTGTTGCCTACCAAGCCCCCTTTTTACACTCATTAATTTAAGCTTGTGTATATTAAACGCGAGGCCATTGACATCGTCTCTCTGTCAGAAGTCTTTAATACAGGTCATGACAAGAAACAGGAGAGAATAATCTCTCTTGAATGAAATAATTGTTAGGTCTGACTTTACAACAAACCTAAAACGAGACAAAAACTGTAATAAATACTCAGGCTCACCTTCCATGCAGCTCCTATAGCGGGTATAGATTAAGCATATTCAATTTTCACTTTCTTTGAATCCCGATAAGAACCGCTGGTTCTAAGACCCCTCGTTGCAAGAACCTCTGGTTGTAAAAGCCCTGGTTGTAAGAACCCCTGGTTGTAAGACCGCTGGATGTAAGAACCCCTGGTTGTAAGACCCCTGGTTGTAAAAAATCCTGGTTGTAACACCCCTGGTTGTAAGAACCCCTGGTTGCAAGAATGACTGGTTGCAAGACCCCTGGTTGTAAGAACCCCTGGTTGTAGGACCCCTGGTTGTAAGACCCCTGGTTGTGAGAACGCCTGGTTTTAAGACCCCTGGTTGTAAGAACCCCTGCTTGTAAGACCCCTGGTTGTAAGACCCTGATTGTAAGAACCCCTGGTTGTAAAACCCCTGGTTGTAAGAACCCCTTGTTGTAAGACCCCAGGTTGTAAGACCCTGGTTGTAAGAACCGCTTGTTGAAAGACCCCGGGTTGTAAAAACCCCTGGTTGTAAGACCCGCTTGTTGTAAGACCCCTGGTTGTGAGAACCTCTTCTTGTAAAAGCCTTGGATGTAAGACCCCTGGTTTTACGAACGTCTGGTTGTAAGAACCCTGGGTGTAGGAACCCCTGGTTGTGAGACCCCTGGTTGTAAGAGCTCCTGGTTTTAAGGCCCGTGGTTCTAACAACCCCTGGTCGTAAGACCCCTGGTTGTAAGAAACCCTGGTTGTAAGACCCCTGGTTGTAAAAAACTCTGGTTGTAAGAACCCTTGGTTGTAAGACCCCTGGTTGTAAGAACCCCTGGTTGAAAGAACCCCTTTTTGTAAGACCACTGGTTGTAAGAACCCCTGGTTTTAAGATCCCTGGTTGTAAGAACCCCTGGTTGTAAGAACCTCTGTTTGTAAAAGCCTTGGTTGTAAAAACCCCTGGTTGTAAAACCCCTGGTTGTAAGAACCCCTAAATGAAGAACCACTTGTTGTAAGACCCCTGGTTGTAAGAACCCCTGGTTGTAAGACCCCTGGTTGTAAGAACCACTGGTTGTAAGACCCCTGGTTCTAAGAACCCCTGGTCTTAAGACC